GGGGTTGTTACTCGTTTGTCTAACGTTCCACAGTAATGAGTGCTTGATGAAAAGAGCTTCTTTCTCTCTCTCTCTTTCTTTCTCGCTCGTCTCTTCTCTTCTCTCTCTCGTCTCTCTCTTTCGCTCTCTCTCTCTTTCTTTCTCTCTGCTCTCATTTTCCTTGAGCTCCGCTGAACTGGCGACGTGTATGTCTGAAGAGGAAGGGCGTACGTGCGTCTCCAGCATCCTCTCCCGTTAGCATCTCCGCCGATGCCTCCCACTCTGGGCGCGTTCCACACGGAAAGCTGCGATGATTAGATGGCTAGAGTCGACATCGTGGTCAGGACCGGCTGCGTCAAGAGCCATGTGCATTTTTTTGCCGCTGTTTACTGCGAAAGCCACGTTCACGTCGGCAGGTCGGGTCGCGCAGACCCCCTCAACCCGCGGGTCATGTTTTTCTCGTAAACCTCTTCTCGTCGTCTCCGGCGGCTCACTATCATTATATCTCGGTTTTTTCTCTGTTTTTCTCGGCCTTCCGCAGGATTTTCAGCTTCACGCCTCTCATCCCTGCTGGCTGGCGACAACATCTGCATCGAATGTCGTGGGATGCTGGGAGGGATGCGGGAAGATGTCTGGAGCGGATGCGGGGAAGGATGCTGTAAGGGATGCGGGGAGGAATAATAAGAGGAATGCTGTGTGAGGGATGCTGTAAAGGATGCGGTGAGGGATGCTGTGAGGGATGCGGTGAGGAATGCTGGGAGGATGCGGTGAGGAATGCTGGGAGGGATGCGGTGAGGAATGCTGGAGGGATGCGGTGAGGGATGCTGGGAGGGATGCGGGGAGGGATGCTGTGAGGGATTCTGTGATGGATGCTTTGAGGGATGCTGTGAGGGATGCTGTGAGGGATTCTGTAAGTGATTCTGTTGAGAGATGCGGTGAGGGATGCTGTGCGGAGATGCTGTGATGGATTTTCTGTAGGAATGCTGTGAGAGATGCTGGTGAGGGATGCCTGTGAGGGATGCTGTGAGTCGGATCTGTGAGGATGCTGTACAAGAATGCTGTGAGGGATGCTGTGAGGGAGTGCGTCAATGTATGCTGCAAGGGATGCTGTAAGAGATGCGACGAAGGATGCGATAAGTGATTTATGGGGATCGGATGTTACTGCAGGCATTTCATCTTTCAGCATCCTCATCCATGGAGATCACCAGCATCACATCGTATCGTGTAAAATAAATACGGCTGACGACTGATGTTGCGTAATGGCCTTCGTGAAATGGATCACTGCGGGAACGTGCGTCAGCTCTCTGCCGCTTCCTTTCACATTCTCCCTCCCCTATCCATCCACACACTCACTCTCGCTTGTCGTCTTACCTTACAATCGCGCCATATCTGAGTCCCCTACAAGCGATATACAGATGAATAGATGATGGGATGGATGGTTGGATGGATGGATGGATGGATGGATGGACGCGACGGACGGACGCGACGGACGTGTTTGATGGATGGATGGATGATGATGGATAGATGGATGAATGGATAATATGGATGAATGATATGATGGAAGATGGTATGATGGATAGGTAGATAGATAGAGAGTGGGGTAGAAAGATCGTGAAAGAGATATATATATATATATATATATAGTATATATATATATAGAGAGAGAGAGCAGAGAGAGAGAGAGAGTGAGAGAAAGAAGAGAGGAGGGAGAGAGAGATGGGAGGGGGGGCGTCCTTGTGACACGTCCTTGGCCGCTCGTGTGTGTGTCCTCTGGCGGGCGTGCAGCATCCCCAGCCTAGCACTCCAGCTGCGGATGCTGGCTGGTAACACGTCGCATCCCGGCGTTGACGTGCGTGTGTCAGCATTGGCGGCTCACCGTGCTCCTCCCTGCGATTAAATGCACGCACGCGCCCTCGCTCGAAGCTTGATTAATTATTAAAGCAGCAGGTTTTTTTTGCGGCTGTCTCGCGCGTCGTCGGCGTTTGTAAAACTTGCGTGTTGATTGCCGTGGTCTGCGGAGAAAAACCGGAATTGTCATTCCGCTATTGTCACCATTAGCTGCATGATGTCAATCAGGAGTGTGAAGCATGCGGTGCTATTTATGTTTGTGCCATTTATTTGCGCATTTCCATTTCTTTCGCTCTTTCTCTCTCTTTTTCCTCTCTCCCTCTCCCTCTTCCTCCCTCGCTCCTCTCTCTCTCTCTCTCTCTCTCTTTCTCTCTCTTTCTCTCTCTCTCCCTCTCCCGCTTTCTCTCCTTTCCTCTGTTTGCTCTCTCTGTGTCCTCTCTCTCCCTGTCTCGCCTCTATCTCTCTCTTTCTACCCCCTATCATTCTTGTTTATCGTTCTCCCCCTCCTCTTTCTCTCGAACTATATCTGCCCCGTCCTACCTCCCTTTTTTTTCCCTCCCTGCCATCCCCGTCCTCGCTCCCTCCTTCACCGTCTTGCCCTGCCACTCTCTTTTCTTTCATCCCTCCTTTTCCGCTCCTCCCTCCTTCCAACATGTCCCCCGTTCGTACGCCCGCCTTGCAGTAAGTGCCTGCCTTATATAAATAAGTATATAATATAAATTATATACTTTAATTAATTATTCAGAGATCTCAGTTAGACACGTGTTTACTGGACAGGATGGGCACGCAAAAGCTAGGCGACTTCGGCATGTGTAAGACGGACATGATAGGCGACAGCAAGCATCGACCTTCTGCGGAACGCCTGACTACATCGCGCCCCGAGGTAAGAACAGAGACCCTAGAACAGATGTAGTGTGTATCTGAACAGAGTCCATTGTGTATTAGAACAGAGTAGATGTAGCTCGAACAGAGTATTAGTGTTCTATTGTCTCTGCTAAGAACCGGCGCGCTGCATGGCACCACCTGGCAATGTGTCGAGCGTCATCGAAGAGCATGTAGATTCTGTTAAGGTATTTGATGTCATGTTGATGTCAGCTCCTAGTGGATGCTGCCAATGATATCGATCCGTTGTCAGTGTGGTCGAGCGTCTTTGTAGGTTCTTTGGCAGACACATCCGTGTTTTTCCCACTACAGTTCCTTATCTTGCGACCAATAATACATGTTAGTGCAATACAATCCACTCTCCTGTACAGATAATACATTGTAGTCCACTACAATCCACTCTCATGTACAGATAATACATGTTAGTCCCACTACAATCCACTCTCCTGTACATATAATACATGTTAGTCTACTACAATTCACTCTCCCTGTACAGATAATACATGTTAGTTCTATACAATCCACTCTCCTGCTGTACAGATATATACATGTTAGTCCACTACATCCACTCTGCATGTACAGAATATACATGTTAGTTCTGATACAATCCACTCGTCCTGTCACAAATACTACATGTTAGTCCACTACAATCCACTCTCTGTACAGATAATACATGTTAGTCCACTACAATCCACTCTCCTGCTACAAATACTTACATGTTAGTCCACTACAATCCACTCTCCTGTACACTTATAATACATGTTAGTCCACTACAATCCACTCTCCTGTACATATAATACATTGTTAGTCCACTACAATCCACTCTCCTGCCACAGATAATACATGTTAGTCTACTACAATCCACCTCCTGTACAGATAATACATGTAGTCCACTACAAATCCATCTGAGAGAGAGAGAGAGAGACAGAGAGAGAGAGGGGGAGGGGGGGAGTAATTGAGATCTAGGGAAGCACTGTCGACAAGTCAAACACCTCGCGTAATCCCCAGCTTTAGAGTTTCTCCTCGTAAATCTACGATGATGGCAGTGGCGGCCGCCCTCCACACACTGCTGGGGAAAAAATCTGGGACACCAGAAGGAGCTGTTGTTGCTGGACACATCTGCCACACTACAACTCGCTTATGACTACTGACTAACTATAACAGCCAATGATTCCAGAGTCTAATCACCACATTTCATACCACAGGTAAGTCTAATATGTTGGCAGAATAATGCCCCCGACGATGTCTGAACGGCATAAATTTGTTCGACTTTGTTCTGCGTTCTTGAATCCTAACGATTCGCATCAATAGCTGTCGGTGCATCAATAGCGGTTGGCATAAAACGAGGGCATAAAGCGATTGGCAATATAAACCGATTGGCATCAATAGCGGTCGCTTAATTCCAGTGCGAAATATAGGGACGTGGCAGTTACCAATGTGCGCGTGACGTTAGCAGCGTGTATCTGCGCACCTAACGCGGGTACAGACACTTGGAACGTCTATAACTCTATATATAATTATTGTTTGTGCACAGCGGCGTGCGTGCTTGTGTGTTGCAGAGGAGCATTTGAACGGAATTTACAGGAATTTATCGGCAATAATAGGCGAAAGAGAGTAGAGAAGCATTAATACTTTGGTCGTAAATCCATTTCGTGTTTATTTACCATATTTTATTTTATTGAAACGTTACAAGTGCCTGTGCATTACACGGCCAGCAGGTAGCATCTGTATATATACTCGCCTTGCTCTATCCGTATCGAAGCGTCCACACTGCTGTATGTGAAACATGAGATCTCCTCCGTTCAGATACTCCATCACAAAGAACAAGTGGTCCTGTCGGAAAAACACAGACGTTAATACATCGCATCCATGTTGAGGTGAGACGAGGAAATTACAGATGTAATGTTAGACTATCACACTCTTAGCTATTACACCCTTACTATCACACATTACTTATCGAAGAAGAATGAGGAAAATGAAAAACACAAGACGCGGGTGGCAACATATTTTACGAGGTAAAGGGAGTCACCAACAGAAATATATGTTGTTGTTGTTGTTTCTGCTGCTATTGTTATTATTGTCGTCGCTGCTGCTGCTGCTGCTGCTGCTGCTGCAGCTGCGGCTGCTGCTGCTATTGTTGTTGTTATTGTTATTATTGTTATTACTGTTGTTGCTGTTGTTAATGAATGTGATGGTGTAATAATAGTTGTTGCTGTTGCTGTTCTTGGCGTTTTGCTGCTGACGGCGTTATTGTTATTGTTGTTGTTGCTGCTGTTGTTGTTGTTATTGTTATTGTTTATGAAGGGTAACTTATGCAGGGCGGTGTGAAGAAGTCGGTAGAACAAAATTGGGTCACCATTTAGGCGCTCACAGCTGTTCGCACGCACGCAACAGCTGCTATTATAAAGTACAGCTTAGTTGCTTCAGCATATACTAAGCTTCGGCAGCTAAGTAACAAAAACTTTCTCATTCTCTCACATATATATGCAGGCAGCTATAGTTTCCTCTCCGAGACGTAACACTAACAAGCGTTGCTCGTGCACGTGCGCGGGCGATACGCACTGCCACTGTTACTGCCAAACTGTGGAGCTGGATGCGTAGATACGTCAAGCTGCTGCCACCTGCTTTACTGCATTACTGCTATATATACGCTGCTAGAGTTATAACGCGGCTGCGAGACACGCACATCGCGATTGTTGATGTTCTGCTGGCATCTACGCGCGGCGCGCACCATAAACATTACGACATCGTGGAATGCGGCAACGGTATAGAGATGAGGCTGAACTTTATTTCACGCCGATGGAAATACTTTAAAGGCATACTAGACCCATTGCTTATGCAATGTTGACGAAGGCTAGAGTAACTGGCACCTTGTGTAGTTAATAAGTGCATAACCTTACATCCAAACAAGTAGTACTTTGTCCAATAACACTGCTGGTTACTAAAAAAATGTCTAATTGAAATCCACAGTCCAAAAATCAGTTGTTTACAGTTTCAAACCGCTGTCGGCGAAGCGGGTGTGATATAGATTTATAGTGCTGCTGCACGGGACATTTTCGCACGCATGCTCGGTCGCACGGAATGCTATCATTAGTGATTTCGTAAACATGGACGCTCGTGATAAGGAACTTTTTGTCAGGGCTGTCCACGTGCGTCCGTGATTAGTACGTGTGTTTTACTCCATTTCCATGTTTAGTCCGTGGCCGTGGTTGCACCGCTGACACCTCCATTTCATCTGGCGTCCAAAACATACGGGCAGCACAAATGTTTACGTCATCGCTTGACTCTTGGATGACATTTACGGCACGTAAATGATACGTTGATACATATCAACAACCGATTTCAAGTCTTGTTTGTAATGTAACCAGCAGTGATATTGGACAAACTAAACCGCGTTTGGCTATAAGGTAATGTACTTATTAACTACACAAGGTGGTAAAGTTACTCTAGCATTCGTCAACATTGCATAATCAATGGACCTATTATTCCTTTAATACTATCCACGCATGCCGGGTTGTGTTTAACACTTTTTACTCAGAAACTCTATCGTTTTTTGCACACCACAGACAATTAAGAAGTATAAAATAAAATTTATTCTAAACGCTTAGCCTATTGACTAAAATGTTTTGAATTAGTTTACGATGTAACGCTGCGATGTATTAATCTCTTAAATAATATTCCTACTCGATAACGGAATGCACGCGACCCGACAGGGGCTCTGGGACCCAGGCAGTACCTACCGGGGACTGGAATGTGCAGAAGAGTGCGACCAGGTAGGGATGGCGGGAGCCGAGAGCTAGCACCTTGCGCTCTATCAGCGTGCATTCTATGTCGTTGTCCTCCAGTACCACGTCCTTTCTCAATGCCTTCACAGCGAAATACTTCTTCTGTCCTTTCAGTTCAGCTAGCAGCACCTGCCATGATAACACGCGTGACGATGACGCGATCACCATGGCAACCATAACCACGATCACCACCAAAATGGTAAAGCGAACGCTATTTCAACCATGACACGATCAACATGACAATGGTTACACGATCACCATGACAACCGTGACATGATCACCATGCCGACGGTAATAACATCACTATGATAACGGTAACACAATCACCATGACAACGGTAACACGATCACCATAACGACGGTAACATGATCACCATGACGACGGTAACATGATCATCATTACAACGATAACACCATCACCATGACAATGGTAACACCATCACTATCATAACGGTAACACCATCACTATGACAACGGTAACACCATCACTATGATAACGGTAACACAATCACCATGACAACGACGTGTGTGTATGGTTACGTGCGTCTGTACGTGTGTTAAGGTAGTATCTCAAGGGAGATTCCAAAATGTCTCGAAACCTTCGCAGGGGTTCTCAATTTTTTCGCGTGAATGACAGGGCTTGCTCTCGTGTCGCTGGAATTTTGAACATGTTAAAAAAATTTGCGCGACAAATTTTCTCTCAAAATAGTCACAGAGTCGTCGCGGGTGTCTCGAACCCGTCTCGAACCCTTCTCAGTTTAGTTTCCGTGAGTCAGAAAGTGCGAGAAATGTGAGACCACTTTGTGAGGGGTTGGCGGCCTATGAAGCTAATTTGTGGGTCCTCATCCAGCAGCTTTTGCACTTCTTCTCTGAGGTCCATCTCGCTTGCCGTCTGATAACAAAATGATTGCTGGACTGGGGAGGGACCCCGTATTTATATGGTCCAGATTTCTCAATTGTCACGCATAACTGTCGCGCGACTGTTGCACGACATTCGTGCGACACTCGCGCGACAGTCGCAAGTGCAAAAAATTCGCAATTCTGTTGCGTGAATGTCGCGACTAATACTAGCTTTAGTGATCGTGTGCGCAGCGGCGTTACCT